TTTAGTCAAAAGTTGCAAAAATTCTGTTTCACCAGTTCAGTCTCCTGAAATTAATCTCTCTTCTATTGAATTTGCAGTGGTCTGATCTTTCCTTTTAAATTCTGGAAGTTAACATTCAAAGTTATTATTGATCTTTCCATACTTATCCCTACCATTAAGCTGTGCATTCTCTTGGTTGCTTTTTGTATTCTTATTTCTGTGTGTCTGACTTTAGTTTTCTTGGTGTGCCAATCACTTTAGTACTTCTTGGAGAGCTGGTCTGGAATTGATAAATTCAAGTTTTGTTTATCTGAGAATGTTTTTGTCTTTTCTTCCCATATGAAGGATTATCTTGCTGGGTGTAGTATTCATGGTTAAAATTATGTTTTGCTTAACACTTTGAATATATTTTCCCATTCTTCCCTTGCTTGCATTGTTTCTGATGAGAGGTCTGACATTAGCCTGATGGGATATCCTTTGAAAGTAACTTGATGTTTCTCTCTTGCAAATTTTAGTATCTTGTGTCCATCTGTGGTTTTGGTCAATCTGGCTATGATGTGCCTTGGAGATCTTCTTGGGTTGATTCTGTTAGGGGTCCTTCTTATTTCTTTGGTCTGGATATTTGAATACCTCTCTAGGTTTGGAAAGTTTTCTTTAGTATTTAATGGAATAGATTATCAATGCCTTTATTATTTTCTTCACCTTCTGGGATACCGATTACCCAGATGTTTGGGTGTTTAAAGGTATTTACTATTACTCATAAATTCTCACATTTTTGGGGTTATTTTCTCAGTCTTTTTGATGAGTTTTTCCAGGTCAGAGATTCTATCTTCTGTATCTGAGATTGATCTTCTGTATGATCTAATATGCTTTTAATACTTTCAAAGGGGGTTTTGATTTTCTGTATTACAACCTTCATCTCTAACAATTCTGTTTGATTCTCTTTGATGGTATGTACTTCCTCTTTCAGATCCTGGAAGAACTTCCTAACCTCCTGGAACTCATTGTCTCTTTTCTCCTGCATCTTTTGGAGTTTGTTGTTTCTCTTCTCTTGCATCTCTGTTAGATTTGTCACTACGAATATTCTAAATTCTTTATCTGACATTTCCATTGTATACTCTGTGGATGATGAAGGGCTGTTCTTTTCCCTTGGGGGAGAGATATTTTCTTGGCTTCTCATGTTTTTTGAGCCTCTGTGGTGGGTTCTGGGCAACTGATGGACTATATGTTTTTCCTCATTTTTGGAGTTAAATCTGAGTGCTCAGAGGCATGCAGCAGGAAGTGATCTGTAAACGCTAAGCACTATCATTTTTCTCTCTTTGTGCAGCAGATTCCATAGAATATGAGGATTACTCTGACCTAAGAGTATTCAGATAGTTGGCTACTGTGCACCTAGATCTGTCTAGAAAGCAACTGATGGACTATATGTTTTTCCTCATTTTTGGAGTTAAATCTGAGTGCTCAGAGGCATGCAGCAGGAAGTGATCTGTAAACGCTAAGCACTATCATTTTTCTCTCTTTGTGCAGCAGATTCCATAGAATATGAGGATTACTCTGACCTAAGAGTATTCAGATAGTTGGCTACTGTGCACCTAGATCTGTCTAGAAACTCAGTACATGGAGGCTGAGCAGAAAAGTGAGAAAGGTAAAAGAAAAAGGAAAAGAAAATGAAAACAAAGAAAAACAGGAAAAAAAAAACAAGACAAAAACAATATACAGAATAAAAAAGGATAGAAAAAATGTAAACAGAAAAATAAAAACCTTACTACACCTAATGGGCTACTCAGAACTCAATTATATGTGGCTGGTGATTGGCTTGCCCTATGTTGGAGAGGGAAAAGGTAAGAATTAGCAATATAAAAGAGCATCAGAGGGGACCAGCAGGTGGTGTGGTGGTTAAGACACTGAACACTCCCACATGGCAGACCATGGTTTGAATTCCAGACTTGGTGGCTTAATTTCTCACTTTCCATTTCTCTATCTCTGTGTCTCTCTCTGGTCAAATTAAGAAAAAAATAAGTAAATAAATTAATGAATGAATAAAATGAAATAATTCTTTAAATAAAAAGGAACACCAGAGAGCTAAGAAGTTTAAATTATGGGACTGGCAGGTGGCTGGGCTTCCAAATGGCTGACCGTGGTTCGAGTCCCGGACCTGGTGCCTTGTTTCCTCACTTTCTCACTCTCACTCTGTCCCTCTCTGTTCATTTTAAAATAAATAAATAAATAAAGTTAAAGAAATAATTCTTTAAAAAAAAAGAAGTTTAAAAAAAAAACAAAAAATAAAACAAGAGTTGGAGAGAGACAGAGAGATTAAACGGTGCTATACCTGGCTAGATTTGGGGAGGCAGGAGGGTGAAGTCTGGTCAGAAAACCTTCAGATGTGTTCATCTGTGAAATGGGCCACTCAGAACTCAAATGGATTTAGCTCGTGATTGGCTTATCCTGGCTGGATCTAGTGGGCAGGAGGGTGAAGTCTGGCAGAAAACCTTCAGATGTCTTCTCACTTTTTCTACTTTTTTGGAGAGGTTTTTGCTATGGAGTGCATGTGCTTGCCAGGAAGATAGAGACAGACAGAGGGACAGAAAGCAGAAATCACTCCCCCAGGAGACATGGCTACACCACAATCCCTTTTCCATTCTCCTCTCGGGATCTTGGGCATACATGCACACGCGCCTGGTGTGAGTTTAAGCCACCGGGTCTGGGACTCAAACCATGGTCAACTACATGGAGTCTAGCAACATAGCCATTAGGCCAATTTCTGGTCCCTCTTTTTTTTTTTTAAGAAAGATTTTTGTTGTAGGGTACATCTGCTTGCCGGAGAGACGGAGAGACAGAAACTGAGAAATCATCCCCCGGGGGGATGGCCATGCCACAATACTTTTTCCTTCATTCTCCTCTTGGGAGTTTGGGTATGCACACACACACATACACCCCTGGTGTGAGGTTTTTTTTTTTTTTTTTCCCTGGTGTGAGTTTTAAGCTGCCGGGTCCAGTACTTGAACCGCAGTCTACTACGTAGGAGTCCAGCAACATAGCCAATATGCCATCTGCTGGTCCCGTGGATCTCATTTAATAATGAAGGATTTGTCAAAGATTTTTTTTTTATTCATATGCAAAGTTTTGGCTTAAAAATTAAAGTTAACTTGGGAACCAGCAGTTAGCGTAATGGCTATGTCGCTGGACTCCCACGTAGTCGACTGCGGTTCGCATCCCGGACTCGGTGGCTTAAAACTCACGCCGGGCGCGTGTGCATGCATGCCCAAGATCCCGAGAGGAGAATGGAGGAGAAGGGACTGCGGCGCGACCATCCCCCCCAGGAATTTCTCGCTTTCTGTCTCTATGTCTCTCTCTGTCTTTCTGGCGAGCGCATGCGCCCTATAGCAAAAAACAAAAACAACAACAACAAAAAAATAAAATCAAAAAACAAAAAACTCTCCAAAAAAAAATTAAAGTTAACTTATACTATATGATTATTCTTTACAGATTACTTAAATATAAAAGGCATCCAATAAACATTATTTGAATATTGAACAGGATGCAGTGACATGAGAGGCAGGCATCATGGTGTGCCAAGAATCTGTTTTTTTCCCCAGATTAAAAAAAGTATTTATTTGATTTTATTGATTATTATTATCTTAAGAATTTGACCAGAGAGAGACAGAGAGAGAAGGAGAGGAAAAGTGAGAAAGCTAGCTGTCAGGTCTGGGACTCAAATTGCAGTTGGCCATGGCCATGACATCCAGAGCCTTAACTGCTACACCACCTGCTGGTCCTGACCATTTCAGTTTAATTTTTTTTTTTAAACCATAAAAATCAGTAAGTCCTTTTAACTCTCACCAGGGCTATTTTCCAGAGAACAGAAAAAAAAAGTCACAGAGTTTAAGAACATTTGTGTTCTTTGAAATTGTTCTCTTCAAAGACTTCTGGAGATACTGATAATTCACTGTGATATTGAGAATATACTTGAAGCCCTTTGATAAACAAATGGCCCAAAGTCAATGTTCCCATTCAAAGCTCTGGAGATCAAGATCTTTATCTGCTGTTTAGTGGTCTGTTTTCACTGGTTATTGAGGAATGGAGAATGTACCTATAAATGGAAGCCAGTGGATACCTTTATATTCAACATGAAATTTTCTTCTATGTATGGGAAAACCAGAATAGATGTGCAAAAGGGTGATTTTCTTGCCTTTCAGGCCCTTGGTTGGCTTCCGAGTATTCATTCTAATTCCGAGCATCAGCTTTTTATTTTTCTTTTGATCATCAGTTGGTGTGAAGAGTCATGGATGTGCCTGACTTGGAGATAATGACTATCTCCTTACAGTTTTGTATGTAAAAATAATTCCTCATTGAAATGTCACAGCTTAATTGTTTAATTATTAGGAATTAAAAAAAATATATATTATTGCTATAGGGCGAGTCCGCTTGCCAGACAGACAGAGAAACAGAGAGACAGAAAGTGAGAAATCACCCCCTAGGGGGGATGGCCACGCCGCAATCCCTTCTCCTCTGTTCTCCTCTCAGGATCTTGGGCACGCACGCACACGTGCCCGGTGTGAGTTTTAAGCCACCGGATCCGGGATTCGAACCACGGTTGACTACATGGGAGTCCAGCAACATAGCCATTACGCTAACTGCTGGTCCCCCAAAATATATATTTTTGATATTTTTTCTTTAGAAATGGTTTTTATAATCAATAATGACTTAATTAAATTTGACATTTTTCACAGGCTTGGTTAAAATGATTCTTTTTTACCTGATCATTATAAATTTTGTACCAGGTACCATTTCTTTTCAGACTTGTACATAACACCAGGCTTTAAGTATGTAAACTTCATGATTTTTTTCTCCTTAACATGTACAGGAAATTGCCATGATACCAGAGAAGAGAGTAATGGTTAAATGAGAAACCAATTTTTTGATTTCTGTTTCCCATATTTACTTAATAATGTTTCTTGAATTAGTGAAGAGACTGTGGCCAAGTCTGATAATTTTAAAGAACAGAACATATGTAAATATTATGATACTTGAGAACCATGAGCTTTATTTCTAGAGATGTTTTTACATTCAAGGGTTAATTTTTTTCTCACAAATTTAGATGGTGAAAAAAATCCAGTTTTTTTTTTAAAAGAAATGCACATATCTTATAACTTTTAACCAAGATCTGAATGTTGGTTCACATGTCTATAAAGTTATTCTATAGATAGTTATAGCTGCATACAGTGATTTTGATTTTCGTTTTTTAAACTGACATCCTCTAAGAATTTACATATTTTAAAATAAAAACAATATTTCAGATAACAATTTAGTAAGGTCTTTTGTGGTCTTTGAATATTACAGTTTTTTCAAGTCGTCAAGCACATCCTGTTTTGTAATCTTGGTCCATGCATCAGGGATTTTACCTTTACCGATAAATTTTTTCTGATATTTTTCTTCTAGCTTTGATCTGAAGTGAGAGACAAACCATTTCCAGTATGGCTGCATGGATGAGTCTGGGGTGATGCTCCACGTGGCATATTTCCCCCCTGCCTTTCGATAGTTCTTAAATGGTATATCCTTGCACTCTCTAAAAACAAAGGAAGAATTACTTGCTACCAAACTAGTGCAGCAATCAACACAGAAGTGGTCCGTGTTATACCATATCCCTCCATCAACAGCTCGAGGACGATGGAAGGGAACACTATGGTCTCCATCATGTGTAGGAATTGTGTTTGTACAAATTGCTCCACAGAAGGGACATTGTTTCCAGCAGCCACAGAGATGTTCAGAGAGCATTTTCTCAATTTTAGGAACCAACAGTTCTACAGGCATACCTGAAAAAGCCTGTCCTATTGCCTTCATTGCAGGATCCAAAGCTGCACTCATGGCTTCCTTGAGAAATTCGATGTCTTTTATCTCCTGGTGCTCAATGCTAATCAAGTCTCTTCGGGGAAAGATTATATTGCTCCCTAGGTGATCACAGAAGAGATCCAGCCATTCAGATGCGGTACTACTTTTATCTTTAGATATTCTTGTAGATTCAAGAATGGCAGAGAGAATGGCATTCTTGATGTCCTCTAAATTTATTTTTACAAAAGCCTTCATTTTTTCAGCTCCTTTCTCTGAATAATATCTTTTAATATGTTTTTCAATATAACTCCTAAAAAATAATTCTGACTTATGAAGGTATTGCCAGTAACTATCAAAGTTTTCTTCCTCAGCCAGAGAGATGAGAATATGTTTCTCGAGGTTAGTCCTGTTTCCGTTGAAGGCAGGGCAGGTAGCTCGCATGTCTCCAGCCATGTTTGGTATTATTTTTTCCCATATGGTGGTGGAAACAGCAGGAGTGAGCTTATGCCACAGAAAATCAACAAATGTTTTGATGGAGGTTGCTCCCTGGCAGGAGATCTTGAAACTCATGAAAAAATCATCTTTCTTGTTTTCTAGGTAATTTACAGGATCATTTGCCCTCTTGAATGCATTGTGTATTTCCTTAAACTCTTCTGATGCTCTTTGGAATAAGCACAAAGATAAATCAATGTTGTATTTACTTGTAAATGTATATCTTTCTCCAGTGCATGAAGATTTCACTTCTTCATCAACTATTCTCAGAATTTCATGGAAATCACTTGGGCTGTAATCACGCTGCTGCCTCTGAATGTTATTAATAGTTTCATTAACTCTTGAAACAATGCGCTCAGTAGTTATATCAATGGAATCTTTATCATGAACCTCTAATTGCCTTTTGAAAACCATATATGTCTTAGTCATCTTGACATGTTCATCATAATTGATTTGAAACTTCTCTCTATAATTACTCCTAAGTTTGCCCACAATGTTTATTTCTTTCTTGAAATGTTCCCACAAGATATGTTCAGAATCCACATCAATGTTTGGCTCTTTAACTTGAGGGAGATTTGAGGACACATCACAGACCCATTTTTCCCAAAGTGGATTGAATTTCTCATGTAACTCTTCCTCACTTAATTCTTTATCCTTTACAGTTAAAGCCAAGTTTCGGCTTCTCTCCAATATCTCATTTTCATAATCTGTCTTTTTCTTTTCCAGCCTTTCTTGACTTTTTTTAAGACTAATAAGTTCATTAGCTTTTCTTTTGCTGTCTGTAATTAGTCCCTCCTTAAGGATTATTAGCTTCTGTTCAAAATTTGCTTTCCATTGAACTAGTATTTCACTGTCTGGGTCTTCATTAAAATACTTGTCAAGTTCTTTCTTGATAGCTTCATATTTTTCTGTAACAGGAGCCTCAAGTGTACTTATTTTGACTATCTGTACTTTTCCATTCTGAATCTGGTTCATCAGCTGGTTCTGCAAGCTCAGCACGTGACTCCTCAGCTCCCAGGTCCATTGGTTATACATGGTTTCCAGTTTACTCATGGCCATGACCTCTCGGGTGTTCCTGAAACTGAAAATAAAGTTCTCATTCACCAGGGCCCTCCACAAATCTTGAACTCTGAATTTTACATCTGATATCTTCATAATGCTTCCTCTGGATTCTTGTTTGGCAGTCATAAGAATTCTGGTTTTTAGTTCCTGGACGTTGTGGCTGTAGCGAGGATTGGGAGGGGCCATTGGGGGATTGCCATCCCAGAGATGGGCGAAGTAGTAGACGTGGGTACTGACATCAAACTTAATGACATCACTGAAGCGAGTTACGTCTGAGCACTGTTCTTGTTCTGCAGCTATGGCTGCCATTTCATCCAGTCTCTGCTCTAGTCGTCTTCGCCCTTCCATGGTTCTGTCTTTAGCTGTAACTTCTCCCACGTTCTGATGTACAAAGAGGCAACTTGGGGATATTTTCACTTGCTTCATTCTTAGAAAGGCTTGGACAACTATTTGCAGGATATCCTGCATCTCTGATGGGTTCTCTCCAAAAATATTGATGAGAGTCAGGTTTCCAAGTCCAATGACAAAGGTTGCCAACTCATTGTCTCGATTCTGGGATCTATTGCTGAATTCTAGAGCTCGAAGTCCTTGTGTGTCCACTACAAGCACAAAGTCAAAGCCCAGTTCCTCTGTGAAGGTCTCCTCCACCTTCAGGAGCTGCATGTAGGCCCCCCGGGTGCACCTGCCTGCACTGACAGTGAACTGCAGCCCAAAAAGGGCATTCAGCAGGGTGGACTTCCCTGAGCTCTGCAGGCCAACAATTGAGAGGACAAATAGACGTTTGTCTCCAAGTTTCTCAGAGACCTTGTCAAAAACAGCTGCCACCCACTTTAGAGGCACATATGACACATCCCCATCCATCAGCTCAATGGGTGCCCCAGATATCATCAGGTCTGCAGCAATTTGGGGAAGGGAGAGAAACAGGGAATCATTTATGGAGGATGCCTCTTCCAGAGCTTCATAGATCTGGCCAATTGACGTTTGTCTCCAAGTTTCTCAGAGACCTTGTCAAAAACAGCTGCCACCCACTTTAGAGGCACATATGACACATCCCCATCCATCAGCTCAATGGGTGCCCCAGATATCATCAGGTCTGCAGCAATTTGGGGAAGGGAGAGAAACAGGGAATCATTTATGGAGGATGCCTCTTCCAGAGCTTCATAGATCTGGCCAATTTCTCGGAGAATCTGATCAATTTCCAAGGTACAGTTACTAATCTTTGTGGAGATGTCTTCTATCTCCCTTTGCCAGTATTGCAGAACACTCTTTGATGCCTTCTTCTTTTCTGTTTGTACCAGTGACCACAAATATCTTTGCTTCTCATGAAGTCTTTCCAAGTGTCCTGCAGTCAGGTTATCCAGAAACACACTGAGCCACTGCAAGAAGTAGAATTTGGTGTGGCTTTCTGAATATTCTTGGAGAACTTGAACAAAAAATCGCATTAAATTATTTGGAGGAAATGCTCTGGTCAGCTGTCGATGTCGAATATTTTGTTTCTCTGTCTCAATCTCACTCTTGTGTTGTTCAATGCTTCGATTCCCCTTTTCTCTCAGATGATAGAGTTCTTTGTCTTTCTTACACCACAGGTGCCACAGTTGTCCCTGGAGGGGTAGTAAGTTTTCCTTGACTTGAGATAACTCTGTTTCTTTCAGGATGGCCATTAGAGTCTGTGCCTTTTCTTTGGCTTCCTTGCAGTCTTCTTGGTTTTCATCAATAAGGAACCCATGCTTGTGAGCAATCATAGCACACTCCTCTAAGGTGAGAGCAGTGACTGAGAGCTCTAGCAAACGTCTGATTGTAGTTGTGAGCTCCTCTGTTAATTCTGCCTCATTTCTATTTTTGATGCCAATTCTTACTTTTGGGCCAGAAATATTAGCCGTGATTTTTTCTTTGTCATCAAGCAAGCAGATCAAAGGTCTAGGTGACTGACACAGGTCTCGGACAATTTTTCTGTTTTCTGTATTTTCATCAGAAGCTGACATGAGGACCACAGTAAGAGAAGATATCTCTTTTAGGAAGGTGAGCTGCTGCTGATATTCCTTTGCATCTCCATGGAGATTGGTGAAGGTCATGGAATTGTCAAATATGTCATCATCTTCTCCCCCAGGACAGAACCAGCAGATTTCTACCACACCTCCCATCAGGAGACAGTCTTTGCTGCTTCCTTTGCAGTGCCGATGGAAAAACACATCGTGTTTACGTTTACTGAGAAGACAGTTCATGATCTGAGATTTGGAAGCAGAGAGGTCATTTCCAACTCTAATGAAGGACACAATGGGGGTAGAGACTTGACACATCTGCTGATTCTTGTAGCATATGTTTCCTTCTGGTGATTTTCTTGATTGCTGCCAACTTTTCCTAATATGACCAAGGGACCATAGAGAAAATTCAATTTGAGAAGTGCAGGGATTAGGCACTATAAGGGGAAGAGCAAACTGACAAATGCTAAGTTTGGTCAAAATATATTGTCTGGCAAAATCATCTGCACAGTGAAAAATTGCCATTTGGATATCCATTGGGTGAATGTGGGGTCTGGAATCAGTGGTCAAAAGTTTAGTGGAACTGTGACTGTCTTCAAGAAAGTCTACATAGGGGTCAAAAACCTCATTTGAGACACTTGGATAGACTTGGTGTTCTGTGTTTCTGTAATCTTTGAAGACCAAGTATCTCAGGCCATAATCCAACATTAGTAGCTTCTGTAGAAAATAGAAGGGAAGATCCTGCTCAGAGCTGGGCTGAGTGTTGTTTACAGCCTTCTTGTAGATCAGATGGAAGTTTGTTTTCTTCATTCGTTTTGGATAGTAGTGTTCTAGGCCTAGACGTTGGAGTAAGTGTAGAAAGGCTCCATTTTCTATGACCTCCTGCTCCTTATTTTCATTATCACGTGGTTTATGGGGCTGTTTCTTTCCACTAAATAGGCTTTGCAATTGGTTTCTCACATCATCTATTTGCAAAGAAGAAATGGTGGCTTCATAATCCCCATCAATGAGCAATCTCAAGTCTTTCTCTAGGTTTTCCCAATTATGTTCTGCTCCAAGCTTGGTGAGGACATGTGTAACTTCTTTAGTCAACAGTTGTCCCATGCATTGTCTCATTAAGGTCAGGCGTTGTGTTTTATCTTCTGGAGTAATAGCTGTGATTCCAATTGTGGTTGTCAGACTTGTGAGTATCAAAAATGCCTGAGCCCTAGAGCTGCTAATATTTTTTAGTTCCTGGTATTTATCTTGGGCAGCTTGTATTTCATGCAGTAGAAAGTTTAACTCATCACACCCCAAAGGATGCCCAAAAGTCCTGTTTACCTCATGATATCCTGCACCAATGGCAATGGAAAGCAGCAAGGCCTGTGTGTCTGGCTGGCCTGTTTCTTGGAGGTAATTAAGGAAGCTGCTGAGAGCCAAGCTGACATTATAAGTGACCTTTCTTTGAGCATCCTCCTCTATTTCTGGCAACTCGGATTTAATTACCTTCAATTCCATGAGGTCTTTCTTGGTTTCTTTTAAGATTTTAACTAATTCAGAAAATTGGGAGATGTTGATTTGCTTCTGTTCTGACTCTGACTGGAAGATCCACTGCATGATGGAGTGAGCCTGAGGGAAGTTTGTCACATGGTAGATGTGTGGATCCAGAAGGCTGCGTAATTGAGATTTAATAAATTTAGTTTTATAATTGGGAGATTCCTTGCAAAAATTGACAGTGTTCACTAGAAAATTCTGCAGGTCCCAATCTGTGAGGCATGTATTGATCCAAACATCATAACTTTTTATGTTTTGACTCAACTTTTGCATGAAATATATTATTTTTTTAAGCTGCTCTTCAGGGTCAGTTACCTCCCAGTGTTTCACATCCTCTAAGAATAGCCTAACCTCTTTCCCAGCACTCAGAAATTCCCCTCCATCCTGGATCTTGAGACTAGTCAGAGCTGTATAGCTCTCTTTGAGATAGTTAGCCAGCTGAAGAGGATCCCTAAAATCAGTTCTGTGACTGAAAAGGATAATGTCCCAGATGGGTACTAGCTGAAGTCCCCTGTCAATGACACACCAGGTTTGATTGCTGGCAATGAGGCCAGTTTTCCACTGGACAAGGCCTTCTGCTTCTGGTGGGCCACCTGTGTGGGCCACAGATAGTTGGATTTTGGCTTGGAGAGTTTTAAACATTTTGCTTTGAGAGGCTGTTTTTGAATGAGAGCCTGAAACATTCATACCTGCAGCAACTTTCACTGGTAAGCCACAGTAGCTGCCACTTATGTAAAGATCCAGGGCCTCTGCTGACTGCTGTTTTACTTCTTCCAGTTGTTCACTTTGGAAACCTTCTGAAATGGCCTTCCACCAGTAGATCCCTCCTAGATGCACAGGGCCTTGGTTTGCATGAGAGCCAAACCTGTGGAAGAAGTCTTCACTCCTGCCTCTCAATGAGAAGAATCTGTCTGGACCTGAGTTTCGATCCAGAAGGTCTTCCATGCATTTCAGTTCCTGGAGAGCAGCCTTAGAGAATTGGAGTTGGTCCATGGCAAAGTGGAAGGAGGCCAGGGGAACATAGTTAAACTTGGTTGAGCAGAAGTATGAGTGCTCAGATCTTGATTGTTTGGTTTTCTTGGATTCTGAATGTTTGCTACAATCCATACCACCTTCTAGACTAAATCCCCCACCTCCTTTCTTGGCTGAGGTAGTTATACTAAAGCCCAGCTTCTCAATAGACTGAGTGAATATGGATTCTGCTTGGGAAGAAATAAATTCCTTTGTTTCCATTCGTTGGCCCTGCTCAGGACCAAAAAGTGAGAATTTCTTGGGGACACTGAGTAACTTTTCTCTCTTCTCTATTAGGTCGCCTTGGTTGCATGTTTTGAAAATTCCCTGAAGGGCCAGGCCCCCAGATGCCCACATAAGTAGATCTTTGTCTGGGAGGTTTTGCCTGTGGGACAGTGTCCCCTCTACAAGGTTAAGTTGTCTCTGCATGTTTTCTATGACTTCTGTTAGGGACTTTTGAGGAGGTAGCCTGTATTCTTCAGGAATCTCTAATGCTTGCCTCAGCTCTGCTTCTTTTGTCCTCACTGCCTCTTCCTGTCGCTGCCTCCCTTCTGATAGAAAGCCCCTCAGCTCCTGCAGGGCCTGTTCTGCCTGCTTCTGCCTTTTGTTGATCATCTCCTCTTGAGACTCCTGTAATTTTGAAAGGTTATGTGAAGGTGACATGGCAAGGAGCTTTTTGAGGGCCTTTTTCTCCCAAGGATGTTGTACCTGTGATTCCAGCTTCTGCAGGTCTTTTTCTTCCAGATGTTGTAAGGCCTCGGCACAGGTCACTCCCAGGTCTTCCTGCAGCTTGGGCAACCAGTATTCAGCAGCCAGTCCAACTTCTGTCAGCATCTCTTGGAGATCTTGCCTTCTTTCACCTCTGGGTGGAAGCTCTTCAGCAATGTACTGTTCTGTGGCCATGGCTGTGTGAGAAACGGACACTCAGTTAAACTGATTGTGTCCTGACTTAGAGACTAAAAAAGTGAGTGCATTAATGATATAAGTCTGTCAGGATTTTTCAAGCTCTCCTTAATTGTCCCAGCACAGGTTTTTAAATATCTGTATGTGTGCAAAGACATCATTGTGAGTGTTCTCAACATGAATACCTTTGTAGTTTGCAGGATGACTTGCAATTTAGCTGGATTTGACATTTTCTTTTGCACAGAATCAATTTCATGGACAACATTAAACTGAGGGATGGAATTAAAAAACATACATGAGTTTGATAGCTTGTTTATTTTTAAATGATGGTCATACCACCAATTGATTATGTTTCCACTGTGTAAACTGCGTTGCCTGGTTTCCTTGCTATGTCCTTGTCACTTCTTGGGTTAATTAATGATATATTTTTCCCCTGCCCTTTTAGATGAACTTCTAATTTGGTTAATGCTTGCTACTCACTTTTCACTCTTCATCTTACCCTAGTTAATGTCATTTTCCATTACATATGTAATTAATACTGATGTCATCCCCATCTATGTGTGTAGATTGAAATGCTTTTCTCTATGCAGTGCTTCATTAATGTTATGTTTTCCTGCCACACTTCCATCAGGACATATCTGGACAGCAATGAAATAAGATTTCACATTTTAACCTCATGTATTATTTATGTTTCCCTTCCTCCTATAAGTTCTGTCCCATTGAATAGCACAGTAATATTTTCAGGTCAATGAATGATCTTATTATTCCTTTTTATCCTTATACAATGCCTTTTCATTTTATTCTCTTAAATCTAACTCAGTTTTACTATTTTTTCAGTCCCTATTAGCTCTCATTTAGATTTTAAGAATCTTCATAATTTCTTTATTAGATTGCTATGCTTTACTTTAAATGTGTGTCCTCTTCCAAATTTTTGAAAATTTACTTGACGTTGTAACAGTTGAAGAGGTGGGAAGTTTGAGACATGATTAGACAATGAGGCTGTACGCTGATGGATATGACTAGTTGCCATTATGAAAGGGCAAGCTTTGCCCTTTGTCCACAATTACTTTCCACCTTTGTTCTTGCAGCCTCTACATGCGATAATAAAGCAAGTTTCTTTCTAGATGCTATTGCCTTGATTTTGAACTTCCCAGTCTCCAGAATTGCTGGTTTTACAAAACATACAGTCTGAGTTATTCTCTTATAGTAACAGAAGATGGTCTAGGACAGTAATTGAAATCAGGGAAGTGGAGCATTGCTATAACAAATACCTAAAAACATGGAGGTGGCCTTTAACCTTGGCAATGAATGGAGGCTAGATGAATTGGAGGAACATAGTAGAGAAAGCCTGTATTTCTGTGAATAGAACATTGAGGTCAATTTTAGTGAGGGCTCAGAAGAAAAAAACTGTAGGGACAATCAAACTTCTTAGAGATTACTTGAGTGGTTGTGATCTTTTTCCTAACTCTAACTTTTTTTTTTTTAAATTGCCAGAGGGCATGCTCACCAGAGAGAGACAGAAAGAGAGGCGAAAGCATGTTGGAAAGCGGTAGGGCTATGCTGCAATCCTTTTTCCTCCTTTTCTCCATCCTTCTGGGATTTTGAGCATACATGTACATGTACCTGGCATGTACATGTACCTGGCAAGCTGTCTGGGCCAGGATTACAACTGTGGGTGGCTAGGCAGGATCCCACTCCCTTAACTAGTAGATTCCCAGGCTAGTCGTTGGTATATTATTAAATGGTATAGGTACTATGAAATGTCAGAGAAGAACTGCATTATTGATATTTGTTTTGAAAAATCATTGAAGAGCAAAGAAATGACCATGCTGGCTTTTGTGTTTAATAAGTACTGAAAATATATATAAAAAGTTAATGACTGGACAGAGAAGAAGAAATTGAAAAAGATGTTCAAACACAGATGTTAAGCATTGCCTTATTGCATTCCTTCTTTCTCACTGTCTTGACTAGAGCAGAAGTAGATTCAATAAAGTAATTAAAATGAGTGTCTCTTCTTTTTCCTTTAATTTCTGAGTTATTCTGCTTCTGGGCTTTAGCACTGTACACATTATTTAAATTAATTCAATGACTCCGGAAATACTCAGACAAGCCATTTTAAATCTGAGGTGTGTCCTGGCATGTTCAGGGAAGCTATGCTCTAAACTCCATCTTCTAGACTCCCAAAATACTCATACAAGAAGGCCTTTTAAATCTGAGGTGTGTCCTAATGTGTTCAGGGAATCTCTGTACTAAACTCCATCTTCTAGACTCCCCAAATACTCGGGCAAGGTACAGCAACCTCTGTTCTCTCTCTGTCTCTGTCCATCTGTCTGTCTCACACTCCCTCTTTTTATATTTTTTATTTTACTTAAAAAAATATTTTTAAAGCACTTCTTCTCACCTCGGGCCTTTTCTTTCTCTTGCTAATTTCAGAAGCCATTTTAAATCTGAGATGTGTCCTGGTGTGTTCACATGGCACACTAGCGTGCCACGTGGTTTCCATTTTTCACCCTGAAAAAAATTTTTTTGTTCTATTTTTTGGTCGTTTTTGTTCAGTTTTCTTTTCTTTTTAAATTTTATTTTGGTTTTATTTTTTAAACCTTACTTTCCACTCTGCTTTTCACTCGCCACACACTGGGTGTCTAGATAGGTTTAGGTACACAGTAGCCAAGCATCTGAATACTTTAGAGTCATTGAAATCCTCAATGCTTATTGAACCTCCTGCTTTAAGGAAGAAACTTATTTTTATAAATCTGATCTCATAGTCTCTTTCTGTGGATACCATGTTGCAAAGCACAGTAGAGGAGAGATTTTGTCACAGAATGACCAGAAAGTACCACAGAGGTACAAGAAATATGAGAAACCAAGAAAATATCTCTCCCCTAAGGGAAAAGAACAATCCTTCTTCATCCACAGGCAGTATAGTAGAACTTCTGGAAATGTCTGATAGAGAATTCAGAATATTCATAGTGATAAAACTAAATGAGATGCAAGAGCTGAGAGACAATGAACTCCAGAAGATGCAGGAGAAAAGAGACAATGAGTTCCAGAAGGAGAGAAAATTCTGGCACAATCTGAAAGAGAAAATACACACCATAAAAAAGAATCAAATGGAGCTGTTAGAGATGAAGGCTAGAAAACAGGAAAAACCTCCCTCAAAAGTATTAAAAGAAGATTAGTCCATGCAGATGATTGAATCTCAGATGTTGAAGGCAAAACCTCTGACCCAGGAAAAATAACCAAAAAAACTGAGAAAATAACCCCCTCAAGATGAGAATACTATATGAGAAATACTAGATACCATTAAGCACCCAAACATCTGGGTAACAAACATCTGGGTAATCCATATCCTAGAAGGTGAAGAAACTAATAACCATCTGGGTAATCCATATCCTAGAAGATGAAGAAACTAATAAGGTCATTAATAATCTATTCCACTAAATATTGGAAAAAAACTTTCCAAACCTAACGAGGTATTCAAATATCCAGACCTGAGAAATACAAAGGACCCCTAATAGAATCAACCCAAGAAGATTCTTCTCCAAGACACATTATAGCCAGACTGGCAAAATCCACAAAGATAAGATACTAAAATTGGCAAGAGAGAAATGTCATGTTAGTTATAAAGGTTATCCATCAGGCTAACATCAGACCTCTCATCAGATACAATGCGAGCAAGGAAAGAATGGGAAAATATATTCAAAGTGCTAAGTGAAAAACAGTTTCAACTAAGAATAGTGTACCCAGCAAGATTATCCCTCATGTAAAAAGAAAGAATCCAAACATTCTCAGATAAACAAGACATGGAAGAATTTGCCAATAACAGACCCACTCTTCAAGAAGTTCTGAGAACCAGCAGTTAATGTAATGGCTATGTCGCTGGACTCCCACGTAGTCAACTGCGGTTCGTGTCCTGGACCCGGTGGCTTAAAACTCACACCGGGCGCGTGTGCGTACGTGCCCAAGATCCCGAGAGGAGAATGGAGGAGAAGGATTGCGGCGTGACCATCCCCCCTGGGGGGTGATTTCTTGCTTTCTGTCTCTATGTCTCTCTCTGTCTGGCGAGCGCACAAGCCCTATAGTGAAAATCTCTCCCAAAATAATAACATTGAATGTTAACTTCCTGGATTTAAACAGGAAGATTGGACCACAGTAACACTGCAGATTCAACAGAAGAGAGATTGAACATAAGACTGAACTGGTGAAATAGAATTTTATGACTTTTGAGTAAAACATTATTTTTTTTTTTTACTATGCTTTGTTTTCCAAATTTAAGGATGTTGCTTTCTTTTGAGCTGTTGATAGGTTCAGCAATCTGATAAAATATTTTTTATTCTTGTTTGTCTCTTTAAGTGGAAACATACATTTTTCTTCCTTTCTGACCCCTCTGGAATTGGAAAATATTTGGGAGCATTCTTATTTTGTGGCATAAGGGTTATTTGCACAAGTTCAACAATACCTGTACATTGAATCAGAAATTGGAAATACTTGTTATTGGATAGGACTTTGACTGGAATATCATATCTGAAGATTAACTAGAAAACTATGGAACTAAGGTAGATCTCAAGTAAGCCAACAGAAGCTCTTGGAGAGATGGCTTGGTACCATAAACAGTTATGCCTGGCAGAGAGGATTAGAGAAGCTATATGAAATAATTCGTACTATAAAATAACCTGGACTTTTCCAGCCCAGGGAAAGTAAGATATTTCCCTGCCTGGAGGGATGGTTGTGTCACAAACCCTTCTCCTCTCAGGATTTTGGGCATGCATGAACACGTGCCCAGCATGCTTTATAAGCCACAGGATCTGAGACTCAAACCATAAAGTTGGCCTTGTGGGATCCAGCTGCCTTAACCACCATGCCACATATTGGTTTCAGAATTCAGTTATTTTTGATTGTAAAACTGAGGTTCTTGTGTAATCTCATCTGAAAACTTGACTGGACAAGAGTTTCATCCAAGCTTATTCATGTTTTCAGAACATGGCTGACACCCAGGGCTGCT